GTTCTAGACCGCGTATCACTCTCTCAATTAGATTGAAGAGGTTACTCTATAGATTGAAACAATCCAACTGGATGTGGTATAACCGTCTGAGTGAATATTTGACAAGTCAGAGTTATATGAACAATTAATTATGCCCATGCAAGTTCATAAAGAAGTCACATTTCAGATTTGCAATCATTGCAATTTATGTCGATGACATGAACCTTATTAGAACTTCTGCAGAGCTTGATGAAATTGCTACACACTTGAAATCGGAATTTGAGATAAAGGATCTTCAGAAAACTCGATACTGTCTCGACGAGCGTTGTTCGGATGTAATCCTAGTACATTAATTGAACTACACCTAAAAGGTGTTACGATGTTTTAAAGAGGATAAAATGAAGCCTTCGAGTACACTTATGGTCATTCGGACTCTAGATGCTAAACGAGATCCCTTCCATCCAACTGAGGATGAGGAAGAGATTTTGGAACCAGAAGTTCCATACCTAAGTGCAACTGGGGCTTTATTGTACTTGGCTCAATGCACTAGACTCGACATCTCCTTCGTTGTTAATCTTTTGGCTAGATACAACAATGCGCCCACATGCAAGCACGGGAGTGGTATTAAAGACATTTTCCGTTACCTCAAGGGTACGATGGATTTGGGCTTGTTCTATACCCACAAATCTTCGAGTGTTGACACCCTCTTTGGTTTTTGGATTGATTCTCGCCTTGTTGGTTACGCATATGCTGGATATCTCTCTAACCCACATAGGGCACATTCTCAAACGGGCTATGTCTTTTCCGTTGGAGACACTGCTATATCTTGGAGGTCTACTAAGCAAATGCTAGTTGCAACTTCTTTGAACCATACTGAGATTCTTGCCCTGCATGAAGCATCACATGAGTACTTTTGGCTGAGAGCAATTAGGGAATATATTCAAAGCACTAGTGGTCTTACTTCCGTTGTTGACATTCCTACGACGATCTTTAAAGACAATGCAGCATGTATCGAGTAGTTAAAGAAATGATACATCAATGGAGATAACACCAAGCACATAGTGCCCAAGTTCTTTTATTCTCACCAACAACAACATCATTAGAACATTAAAGTCAAGCAAATCCGTTCCCAGGACAACCTGGCCGATCTCTTCACCAAGTCATTGCCCAAGCCTACTTTTCAGAAACTCGTCCAAGGAATTAGTACGCATAAATTATCTTAGTTGAATTGCTTGTAGTTATCTTATTTGGAAGTTATGTCTAACTCAGGGGGAGTATCCTGAAGCATACTCACTTGATCTTAATGTACTCTTTTTCCTACGATTAGGAGCATTTTTCCCACTGAGCTTTTGCTACCTAATGAGGTTTTGATGAGGCACCCATCCTGGGATGATCATACTCCTGAGTTCACTATTTTTGTCTTGTTTGACGTTTGTTTTAGACATTGTGCATACTTCTCACTTTTCTTCTTAGTATATGGGTTTTCCCCATACCTTGGGTTTTAACATAGCGAGTTTTTGTGAGTTTTATTACTAATGCATATTGTTTGTACCATACTTGACCAATTCCGAAACTACTAAACACCGATCAACAGTATACCGTCAATGACCCACAAGAGTTTCCTTTCAACTAGAAGGCCAATCACAACGCGACACGTGTAGATATCAGAGGCCAATCACAACGAAACACGTGTCGATATCAGAGGCCAATCACAGCACGACACGTGTCAATGTCAGAACAAAGCTAGAAACTCTCTTTTATAAAAGGGGATCATTCTCCTATAATAATCCCTAATGTCATTTGTACTAAATTATTCACTAGAACTCACTGAAGGAGAGCTTAAACCTATGTATTTGTGTAAACCCTTCACAACTAATGAGAACTCTTCTACTCCGTAGATGTAGCCAATCTGGGTAAACCACGTACATCTTGTCTTATTTGTTTCTCTGTCTTTATCCATTTACATACTTATCCACACTAATGACCAAAGCAATCTAGCAAAGGTCACAAACTTAACACTTTCTGTTGTACCAAAGTCCTCGCTAATTTTGTGCATCAACATTTGGCGCCGTCTATGGGAAGTGCATTTATTCCTACTCTTTCCAACTTTGTTAAGTTGGTTTCCACCATTCGTACACTTTCTTTCGACTAGGCACCCCTCTCCAACATGAGGAGGGAAGAAAGCCACAACACGCAGAAAGACACCCCCTCGCACTTAGTGTGAAGCAACGAAAAAAGAAACGAAAGAAGTTTGCTCTTTAGGCTAAAGTGGATGAGCTAGAGGCTCAGAACAACATGATAGCGATAAAGAATGAGATCCTCCAGGAGCAGTATGAGAAGCTCTTCAGGATGCTCCATTAAGCTAGGCATATTCAAAAACACGAACTCATCGCCCCCATGGAAGTCGACCACCACTTGGGTGGCCCCAAACGTGGGGGATTACCTGCTTTCAACATGGATATCCCTAATAAGGAGCGAGCTACTTAACAAGGTGTTGATCAACATGAGACCTCTCTCAACTTAGCTGCTTCGACCCAAAGCAGGAGAAGTGGAGGAAAGCACCTTTTTGCAGAAGGAGCAGAATGATCGAAAGCAGTTTTTTACGACCGTCGGGACTTCCTGAGACAACATCGAGAGAACCCCATCCACATAAGCTCGAAGGTCAATGACCCAAGGGTTTCTAAAAGATTTGGTCCTCTCCCATGTCCCAAGCCAGCTGCCAATCTAGGGAATAAGAGACAGGTCCTAGAGGAATATGAACATATGGGGGACTCAGGGGTGTTTCGACAGGCTCGTCCTGGAAATCAGTATGGTGAGTCCAAAGAAAAATCTCATGCTCTTGATCAAGCTTTCTTACTTCCAAGAGGTGATGTAGACTTACGAAAGAAGGATTCAGCAATACCTGACTCCGCTTAGGATCCCTTTGTTCTACAGCTCCTTAAGGAAGTAAACAAGTTGAAGGCCGAACGTCAGGCCGAAATACCTGACTGGAACCAACCCAGGCCTAGTCTTTTTACCAGGAGGATCCTAGACACCCCCCTCAAAGCAAAGACAAAGCAGAAGCTTAGCTTACAACTCTACACTGGAATGGAGGACCCGATTGAACACTTTAACCTCTTTGAGTCCACCAAGGCATACCGGATGCACACCGACGAAGAGCGATGTCTTCTCTTCCCATCTACCCTCTTTGGTGGAGCTTTAAATTGGTATTGCCATCTTCCACTTGAGATACTAGACTCATTTGAAGAACTAAGGAAACTGTTTGTCTCTCAACACATCTTCAAGACAGATCGCTTACATTCTGCAGATGACGTGTACACTATTTGCCAGAAACCAGACGAGTCACTACGAAAGTATGTCGGCTGCTTCAGCCATAAGTATTCTCGCTGCGCTGAGGCAGATGACAAGACCACCCTTAAAACCTTCCTGACAGGCCTACGCGACTGTTTCTTCAAGTACATGATCAATGCCAACACTTGGAAGACTTACTCTGAAGTGATGGCGCAGGCTTACAACCATGCTTCCGCCAAGGCAAGGACATATTAAGGGAAACTCCCTACAACCATCCCTTATCAGCAAATAGGGAGTGGAAGCTAGATTCAACCAAATGAGAAAACCTCAACCTTCCAAACGGAAACAGCGCCCCTTCTTACCTTACTTAATACTTCGCCAAGATAACAGACATATCAATCTCAGGGCAAGAGGAAAGATTTCCATCCTCATCAGTCCCATTTCAGTAAGAAGAGTAAGGGGCACTATTGAGATAACCAAAGGTATCGCCACGATAATGCCCAACCCCAGGCAGTTAACGCAGTGAGCCAAACACATGTCAAGACAGGCCCTACCCCGAGGTATGAGACGTACACACCTTTGAACGCCACATGCACGGCCATTTACCCCAGTATATCTCACCTGATACCAAAGCCAAATCCGAGATAGTCGGATTACAAATCCATGAAGGACACGGGTGTGTTTTGCTACTACCATGAGTATAACGGTCATGATGGCGAGAAGTGTATCATCCTCCGTGATCATATTAAAGTTTTAGCACGTGAAGGAAAAATTGATCAATTCCCCCGTCACCCTCCAAAGGATAACCGTAACCAACGCCAAATGAATGTGATATATTTCGTAAGTGGCGGCACACCCGTATCTGAATCTTCTAACAGGGCCATGAAAAACAGTGAATGAACTTTGAGGCCTGACCACCAAGTGTTTCACATAGATGACATCAGGGGAGGCAAGTATCAAAAGCCTAATTGGGATCCAATATGTTTCTACCCTGAGCAAGAAAGAGGTATCACCTACCCTCACAATGACCCACTAATCGTGGAGACTCAGATAACCAACTTTGATATACGACGAATCCTGGTAGACACGGGGGCTTTGGTCAATATTATGTTTGCTAAAGCTTTCCAAGCACTTAATGTAGCTAAACACTTGCTTGATCACTCAGTTTCTCCTCTGATAAGCTTTTCTGGTGATGTCGTGCAACCTTTAGGGAGCATACATTTACCCTTCACCATCGATACAGGGCCTTACACAGCCACCATCACCACTAACTTTCTGGTGGTTAACTGGCTAACAGCATACAACGTCATCTTTAGACGCACGGGTATCAATGATCTCAAGGCCATGGTATCTATATATATGTTGTTGATGAAATTTCCAACCCCCTATGGAAACGGTTACATTAGAGGAAATCAACTGAGTGCACGATCGTGTTACAACACTTGCCTGTGCCCAAAGAAACAATTTCTATACATGACCAAGTTATAAAGATTAGCTTAAACAGAGCCAACTTGGATCTCCATGATGGTAATAGTCAACCCGACGATCCTCGAGATGACCCCTTCACCCAACAATTATAACCTGCTGAAGAATTGGAGAATGTCTCTATCTCAAAAGATTATCTGGACCGCATAATGAAGATTGGCACCACTTTGTCACCACCCCTTCGGCTGGCATTGATTTCCTTTTTGCAAGAAAACATTGAAGTCTTTGCCTGGTCATACGAAGACATGCTAGGCATCTCTTCCGATATCATCTGTCTTCGCTTGAGTATTGATCCCAAGACCAAGCCGGTGAGACAGAAGCGAAGATCTTATGACGCTGAACGATACGAGGCAATGAAGGCAGAAGTTGAAAAACTCAAAAACATAGGCTTCGTCCGTGAGGTCAATTATCCAACATGGGTAGCAAATGTGGTCCTTGTTAAGAAAAATCCAACCAAGGAAAGTGTTTTGCTTCAAAAGATCTCATGGAGAATATGTGTCGACTACACTGACTTAAACAAAGGATGTCCGAAGGATAGCTTTCCCGTTCCTTTCATTGATAGACTTATATACTCTACAGCAGGGTGTGAACTCTTGAGCTTCATGGATGCTTACTCAGGGTACAACCAAATCCTCATGAACCCTTCGGACTAAAAACACACGGCCTTCACTACTGACAGAGCACTATATTGCTATAAAGTCATGTCATTTGGCCTAAAGAATAAAGGGGTGACTTATCAGAGATTAGTCAATTCAATGTTTGCTGAACAGATTGGGAAAAATATAGAAGTTTATGTTGATGATATGTTAGTCAAAAGTAAACATGCTGACCAACACATCGCCAACCTGTTTGAAACCTTCTGCATCAATAAAAAGTATCGAATGAGGTTGAACCCCAACAAATGCGCCTTCGGCATGGGCTCTGGAAAATTCTTGGGCTTCATGATTAGCCAACGAGTTATTGAAGCTAACCCCGAGAAAATCAAAGCAATCATTGACATGAAAAAACCAGTAACTTCAAAAGACATCCAAAGCCTTACTGGCAAGGTGGCACCCTTGACCAGGTTCGTTTTTAAAGCCATGGACAAATGCGCTCCTTTTTTCAAAACACTCAAAGGAAGTAAGAAGTATATTACGTGGATTGATGAATGTGCCGAAGCATTTAAGAACCTTAAGGAGTACATGAGTAAAGTCCCTCTACTTTCCAAACCTGAAGTTGGCGACACCCTAATTGTCTATCTGTCTGTCTCGGCTTCAACAGTTAGTTATGTCCTCATTCGTAAGGATGGTAATATCGAACGACTTGTCTACTACGCTAGCAATGCTCTACAAGATGCGGAGACACAATACTCCAACATTGAGAAATTAGCTCTAGCATTAGTCATGTTTGCTCGGAAACTTCACCCCTACTTCTAAACACACTTCATCATTGTGTTTCCCCCTTCGACAAATACTTCAGAGTCCTGACACTTTGGGGCGACTGACCAACTAGGTGATAGCACTGGGAAAGTTTGACATTTCCTACCACCCAAAGCCAGCTGAGAAGGGCCAAGTAGTTGTAGATTTCATCGCCAAATTCACTTATCCTATTGACATCTCTCCTACACCTGAAGCTGTGGCTTCATTACCCCCAGAAGCTCGGAAGGTAGAACCAACACTCCCAGTATGGACTCTATATGTTGATGGCTCATCCAACCAACAAGGTTATGAAGCAGGACTAGTCCTGACTACCCCCGACAAAGTGACAATGGAGTATGTTTTTCACTTCAAAGTCAAGGCGTCAAACAATGAGGCCGAGTATGAGGCCTTTTTAGCAAGTTTACGTTTGGCCAAACACCTTGGAGTTAAACAAATTGATATCTTCAGTGACTCCCAATTGGTGGTTAACCAATTCACGAACAACTTTGATGCTAAAGATAACTCCATGGCAGTATATCTTGCGCAAACGCAGCTTTTGCTCAAGCACTTCAATTACCAGATCACCCAAGTCCCTTTAGTGGCAAACAGTCATGCATACGCTTTAGCTCGCCTTGCCTCAGTAGTAGAAGACAAGATTAGGAGAAAAATTCATGTCGAATTGTTGGCAGCACCAAGCACTATGGCCGCAAAAGTGTGCAACATACAACAGGGGGATAGTTGGATCACCCCGATTTATAAATTCCTTGCTCATGGCACCCTCCCAAATGATAAAGTCCAAGCTAAGCAGATTCAATACAAGTCCACCCGTTACCTGATCATTAATGACTAACTCTATAAGCGAGGTTTTAACCTACCATACTTATGGTGCCTTACACATGCGGAAGCGGAAATTGTCTTTCAAGAAATACATGAAGAAGTCTGTGGAGATTATGCTGGATCTCGATCCCTAGCACACAAGGCTTTTTGCCAAGGATATTACTGGCCAACACTCCACCAAGATGCCATCAGAATATCCCGCTCATGTGATAACTGTCAACGCTACGTAATTATTCATTACTCCCCTCCTGAGCTTCTTACTCCTATGATCAGCCTTTGCCCCTTCGCCCAATGGAGACTTGATTTGATCGGCCCAATGCCCGCAGGGAAGGGCAAGTTCTGTTATGCAATTGTTGCAGTTGACTACTTCACAAAGTGGGCCGAAGTAGAACCCTTAGCAACCATTACTGAGGCAAAAATAGAAGACTTCGTATGGAAGAACATCCTTTGCAGATTTGGCATTCCCAATGCGATAGTCACGGATAATGGGCGACAATTCGACAACAAGAAGTTCAGGATGTTCTGTTCTAAGTTCAACATCAACTTATGTTTAGCCTCCCTAACCTATCCCCAATCTAATGGACAAGTCGAGGCCATCAACAAAATAATCAAACTCACTTTGAAAACCAGCTTGGATAAAGCTAAAGGCTATTGGCCATAATTTGTACCCTAAGTTCTTTGGTCATACCGCACTTCATATCGGACTTCAATAGGAGAAACTCCATTCTCACTTGCCTTTGGTACAGAGGCCATTGTCCCAATTGAACTTGAGTAAGCAACGTTTCGAGTCCAAAACTATATGCAAAGTGAAAATGACGAACAACTCACCTTCAACTTGGATCTAGTCGAGGAACATAGAAACCAGGCTCACTTAGGGAATGTCGCTTACAAATAGCGTATCTCCAACGACTACGACTCAAGGGTTAAACCTCGCTCTTTCAACGTGGAGGACTATGTATTGAAGAAAAGACTACTATGCGACAGAGTCTCGAGCGAAGGCACGCTAAGCCCAAATTGGGATAGACTGTTTCAAGTTATGGCATCAGTCGCCATAGCTCCTACAAGCTTAGGAGCTCCGATGGCAAGACCCTTGGCTATCCATGAAACGCTGATCAGTTGAAGTACTATTACAAGTAGACTCACACTGTACAAGTGTTGAGCTACGGTCATTTGGCATCCTATGTAATGAAGGCCATTTGGCATCAATTCAATAAAGAGGTGATTTAGACAACTTGGTCCTAACTCCTTTACATCCCTATCACTGAAACGCTCAGGTTTGAAACCTCAACACGAGTGCTTCCAACATGAAATAAACTCTAAGTATATGTCAACAAGACTATACAAATAACAAACAGTTCCACTGCATATTCGTTCAATCATACTCAAGTCATGGCTTATATCCAAACAAGGGACTTATCCAAACATAGCCAAACATTCATCAATGATAGTACAAATACTTGACAATTAACATCAAAATGCATAATACAAGGTTGTAAACATACATAAACAAAAAACCCTCAGGCTTACAACATGCCATATGCCACACAAACAATAAACTAGTACATTCAAAGTACATGCAAAAAAAGAGGGCACTATGAGTCATCTTCATCTGAGGCCGAACCCCTGACAATATCACTTTGCGTTTCAACCCCATCGCCATCACCACCATCCTCGGTATCTCCAGAACCATCCTCACTCTCCCAAGACTACTTACTGACACTAGCCTCATTATCAGAGTCACCCTCACTACTAGGATCAACTGCAAGGATGAAGGCTTCACCTCTTTGTCGGTACTCATCCATCTCATCATAGTACTTTCGGATAATGTTTCCATTATCGAAACGCTCAAGGACAGCCATCCATTTCCTTTTCTCAAAATTAGCCGCTCGGATGGAGTGAGGTCTAAAGGTATTGTGAAAGGCCTGGGAACTTAAGAACTCCTGCATGGTAACGTTCCTCTCAGTTGGGATACCCCTCTTTAGCCTAGAAACTTTAACCAAGGCACTATCCAACTCCCCTTTAACCTTGGAAACTTCGAGGATAGTTGTCTCCAACTGTTTCTCAGTCCCCTCCAGTTGTTTCTTGAGCCTCACATTCTCACCATTTCGCTTCTTCAAACTCTCAAAGTTTTGATCTTTGAGGCGAATAGCCTCAACCAAAGTTTTGCTTGTTTTTCTGGCGTCATTCACAAGCTGGTTATTCTTTTTAAACTTTGCCTTGTGCCGCTTGACCTTTCGTAATCTGTCGTCGTACTCAATCATGACCTACATGACAAGATGATCATCACTACCAGGAAAAGAGGGGAGAAAGTAAAGAAATAACAGAGTAACACTTACATAAGAAGATAATCTCATCATCCGATCACGATTTGATTCGTTCTCATGTAGCGACTCGCCAAGCTCGTCAATAGTAGATCGGCGTGCTGCCAAGCAATTATTGACATACCTAAAACTACTTGCTTGCATGGCAACCTTCAAATCCTTCCAATGGATGCTGCCAACCTCTTCTTGATACTTTCTCTTACGGTTGGAGCTAGGGCCACCTTCTTGGTCAGTGTCCTCCATGGTTAAAGGAAAGATAGGATCGATGGTAGGAAAATGAGGCAACAATCGTCTCTCCTCCCTTACAACTATGGCAACAGCACACTCGATAGCCTCAGCTTCAGCTTTCTTTGAGGCAGTAATCTTGAGGACCTTATCTTGCGACTTAGGTCTAGGGGCTGGCCTCACCAGGTGCTTACGAGCTCCCTTGTGAAACAAAATGTCATCTACAGGAACTAACATGGGTGTTTTCCCTTTCTTGGTGTTAGTCCCCCCCTTTCTATTTCACTTTCTCCACTGAACAAGAAAAATCAAAGTAAGGAATGCAACTTTTTAAAAGAAAGAGGGGGTGAAATGAAAGATACAACTTATTTGCTCGTCTCTGGCACTCCGACACTAGGGGCTGGAAACCATACTTTTGAAACAAAGGTCGTAGCTTGCCCAAATGTCTATCCTCCTTAGGCACCCTTAACACCTTCTTTACATTAGCCAGCTCCCGTCCATACAATTTGATAGTACCTCATGTCACTGCATGAAGGAAAATGTTAGACGCAAAAAGAAATCACAACAAATAGCAAACAATGCAAACAATAGATACATTACAACCTACAATCTGGAAGTGGGTAGAGACACGTCGCTCAGGTATGACACCCTTAACATGCTCCTAATCATTATAAAGAATGCACCAACAGTTTTTCCAAGTGCAGTACGCATTTTTCTTACCAAAGACAATACGCTTTCTCTTACTCCGACATGCACACTCGACATACCCAGGACATGCTTTCACCGGGTGCATCTTATAGCAGTAGCACCACTGATGGAAGGAAAGCTCACCTAATCCACATTCCATCCAAATAATATAAAACTTGATCAAGGTATCCCAAAAACCAGGATTGAGTTGCCCAGGCGCATATCCAATGAAAGATAGCATTCGTTGCAACCACGGGTACAAAGGCAGCTTCACCGCTAAGGTTAATAAAATTTGGGTCTAGAACATAACATGACCCTTGGGTGGTTCAGAAGGCAATTTTTCATGATGTACCAAACACATTCCTACACTGCGGGGGATACTACATGACTGTTTTAGGGCCTCAAGCTGTTTTTCGCTATCTAACAAATTTTTCTCTAAATGGTCCACTACGAACTCAGAGCGAAATATGGTTATGGCGTCAAAAGCAACCCCCTCACCTACTGACATGGAGGAGCAAGAACCAATATTGGCTAAGGTTTGACAATTGCAAAGATCATCCAATGTTTCTTTTGTACAAGACTCCAACAAAGGCCCTGAAGACTCCAACATTGCAAGCTCAAACCTAGAGCTAGAGCTAGGGGAGCCCTCATCACTAGAACTTCTAGACTCTGACATCTACAACAAACAGAAACAAACTCTATCACTACATGAAAGATCTAAACATAAGGAAGTTCCTAGGGCATGAAGAAAAACTCAACCAGTTCATCATGTTCTCAACTAAATACATGAACACTCAAACAATTCAACAAGAATGAAAGCATGCGATCTAGTGGAGAAGACTACCAACCTGAAGATGGTGCAAAGCAATGCCGGAATCCCTCTCAACAAGAGAACACTCTGCCTTAAAAAATTACTACAAAATGAGCAAATGAAGGCAAGGTAAAGAGTGGAAACTTATCCTTCTTATATAAGTTCAACAGGATCAAAGAAATTCAAAATTCAAATTCAAACCATGAGAAAGCCCCACATGGAAAGTCTTTAAACTTCCACACAAGTTAGGGAGTTTCAAACTTCAAATTTTCAGTTCCCTAACTCCAAAAACAAAAAAAACAAAAAACAAAAAAAAAAATTTGAAAAAAACAAATCAAAAAAATAAAAAATAAAATAAAAAAAAATTAAAAAGGAGGGGGAACACAGCAACTTCATCAATGGAAGACAACTACAATTCTCAAAAACTTCACACACTCTTGACCAAGATAGTGTGAAGCAAAACCAGTTTATGGTACCAACAAAAGCTTCAACAAATGAAGGGCAACAACAAATGTCAAAAGCCTCACACACTCTTGATCAAGATAGTGTGAAGCAAAACCAATTTATAGTGACCAACACAAAGCTTCACCCACAAAGCTTTACCAACAAAGCTTCACCTATAAAGCTTCAACCACAAAGCTTCACCTACAAAGCTTCAACCACAAAGCTTCACCTACAAAGCTTCAACTTTCAACCACAAAGCGTCACCTACAAAGCTTCACCAAATGGAGAGCATCTACAAATGTCAAAAGCTTCACACACTCTTGATCAAGATAGTGTGAAGCTAAATCAAGTTTGGTGTCCTAAAATAGCTTCAACCATTCAAGCTATATACCCAAACAAAAACCCACAACCAATACACCTTACCTATATACTTATATATGTTTCCAAACGTATTATAGTAGAGTAAATAACAAGTCAAAGTTCCACATTTAATGGTGAACAAAAATCCAAGAAATCCACCAGTAATGA